CATCAGAATTGCCAAGTCAAAGAACTGTTCAAGCCTCATGACGATTTCTGGATGACCATCATTCATTTATCCTGTTAAATCGCGGGAGAAGATATTGTTGTGATATGCCTCAGTCACATGCCGCATGGCATATCCGTACGCGCATGTCAGCATGTGGCCCTCACACATTACCGTGTTTCACTGATTGTAATGGATCATGCTCGATCGATATTTATTTTGGGATTACGATGATTCGAAGTCAGTTCTCAATAGTTGTGTGAATTTCAAAACTTGGCTTCAATCAACCTGGCTAATGATCGAAACATTCAGTGAGACCGAATTGTCCTATAGGGCCACAGTTTTTATTACTCACCCTAGTATTCTGAATAGAACGATGGATAAATCTTCTACTTTCCTAATATTTGGTTGTTGGAATCGACACTTTAAGCTCTGTAAAATAAAGTGACGTATCAACTAGGGTTTCAGTAGGATGGGCGTGGTATTGAGTGCGGTAATACTGAGCTATCTACCGCCAAAATTGTTTAGTGATAACAAGGTTCGGACCTCGAACCTTGAACGAGTCAGGAGCGCAGCAGTGACAGCTGTCTAACCACCTGAGTTCATCAGTAGATGATCGCAGTGCGACCGATTATGAGCGATTCCCATTCATAATCAGTAGTGGAGCAGTCTCTTGTGTTTACCTTGAGGGGAAACGCGCATTCCACGAAGTTAAATTCAATGCAAAGATTGTGTTGGAAGTTCTGTGTTAGGAGTTATCGGGAATTTATCAATCCGCCCCTCAAACTGTCTGCCTTTCAACAAATACAAACAACTGGATCATGAAGTCTTATGACGGTGCATCCAAGTAACTTAATTAGTACTGGCGGTTAGCTTGAACAGGACTGATCAATTCGGTTTACTAATCTGGTCGTTCAGGGAGGATGGAAATATTGTTCTGTTTACTTCCAGTGTTTTATGATTGGTTGTAAAGAATTGCCTGAAAGTGGAATTAAAACGACAGATTTCGCGGGGAATTGCACATTGAAATGGCAGCCTTGCAGAAGCTGTGATATTATAACCATTATAATATATCAAAGTTTTGAATGCAATTCGTGCCGACAGACATCGGTCAATACGTTAAGAATGATGCGAACAGTTTCCGCCTAAATTAATGTACTTGTGTCAAACTGAGTTGGGTTATGTTCTGCTCGCCTTTCCATTGGTTCTCAGACTAAAATCTCAAATCGCCTGCATCATACATTCAATTTGATATGCTGACATACACTATGGATCAGTAAGTGTAGCAGTTAGTGAAACAGCACGGTCGAGTGACAGTAAAAATGCACAGTGGGACACATACCAGTCCAATGCATTGTGGTGAACGTGAATCGCTGCAACCGGGTCTGTGCTTTCAGTCTGCTAGTGCTAGTTAATCAACCACTCTGTCAGTCAGTTGGCTGAGCAAATGAAATTACCATCCAAATGAGGCCCGTTGGCTATGTGTTTGGCTGTTGCGCAATGTGCACAGGCGCCCGTCAACCGAGTGTTGATTCCAAAACGGCAGTACACAACCCCACAGAGACATTCAGATACAAGCTGTGAGGCAAACAACTTGAACGAGTGATGCGTATCCCGAGCATGGAATAGACTGCATGGCCTAGCACGACACAAGGCGGAGCGAGTCGAGGCAAGGCGGGGCAAAGAAAGACGAGCAGGGCATTTAGTACATGGGCGGAGCGATGCACACGGATCAGGTGGAGCAGCTTGTCGGCACATTTTCGCTGCGTTTGTTCCCCACCATAGCGTCAGACGACAGTAGAGTAGTCAAAATGCTAATGAACCTATGGTGAATTCGACTGTGCGTTCAGCCTGCATGTGTGTTTGTGTTTTTCTGCGTGCATCTGTGAGTGAGTGGGTCGATAGGGTACGATTTTATATGCGTATGAGTGCACATGGATACAGCTCACTACATTTCGATCAAGAGACTGGTTCGAGCGTGTATTTTATTTGGTTTTCGGTATGATGGTAGTTTTCCAAGGCACATAATTCTGGTACCTAACTCAGACAAACGGAGCGGAAGCGTAGGGAGTTGGGGCGGGGGGAGAACACGCAGAGAGTGGAGGGATTAGGCAACCCATTTGAACAACTCACATAATCATCAGGGTGCTGAATGATCCGTTCGAACAGCTGATATATATGTATACAACATATACATATATCTGTTTATATTTAGACGAAACACATTCAAACGAGATCTTTTTTTAACATTCTGTCTCTCGTGTTAATGCAAATTTGTGGTGTGCGGCTATCCTTCGCTTGATCGAGGGTTCATTCGGTCGAACATGCTACTGAGTTGGATCAGCCTATGCTCAAACTCACGGCTGTCTGCGAATACACATCAAGCCCCGCCCAAGATGGTGCGATGCATTTCAGCTGAATAAGTTGCCTGAAGGAGTGTGTGTGTGCGTATGCTTGTTCAGAACTGGGTGACTTCAACAATATTGGGCTCGACGTGTGTGTGTATGTGTGTACATGCACTCGAATGTGACAGCTGGACCGACTGACGGCCGACAGACCGACTGATGGCATGGGGGCCAGGTTGACGTCAGCGAATGAGCGAGTATATTGTCGCTCGAAAATTGTTTCACATAAGTGCCAGGGGCAGTGCTTACGCGTTTCAGTCATTTTCATATTAAATATGTGCGCAACGTTCTCAGGTGTCTCATCCCAGTTGCATCCATTAACGTCGGTAATATGCGAGGGGCATTGATAGAAAGACAATCACAGAAACAAGTTTTCGTGAAGCTTAAGTGAAGTGCTTACTCAGTTTTAGATATGATTCGTAAGTTATAATCCGGAACCAATTTTCGCAATTGATTAGATTGAAAATCGTTTAGATTTCGTCTTTACGTACAATCCGCAGTTCAACCAATGAGCCACTTCGCACTCGGGAAGAAGTAGACTCAAATTTCGCTCAGGTTAGAATTCATTAGCCGTAGACACATCCACGAAACCCCAGTGTGGAATCATCATCATACAGCGAAATACAGTGAAGGGAACTTCACTGACCGCTGCCAAACTCACAATGCGTACAAGGTTAGTGGTAAAATTTAAGTTGGACAGGGGTTGGATCTATTTTG